ACAAAAAAATTCAAAATCTCCGGTTGTAATTGGAAATACAAATTTTTTTTTCGGGAATATAAAGATGTAGGTTCAATGTATCTTACATATGAATTTCATTAAAATCCTTGCTCTAGAAAGCATAAAAAACACTAATTGTTTATAAAATTGTTATTGAAAATTAAAAATTTTTCAAAATTTTTTTTCGCAATTAAGTTTATTTAAAAGAGTGGATATTCAATGACTACCAAAAAAATTGCCATTAATTTCTAGCAAAACAGTAATGAGTTATTAATTTTTTTCTTAAATAATGCAAAAATTTTTTATTATAAAAAAAGGTATAAATATTTAAAATTTCGAAAATTTTGGTTTGCTGTGAACTACAGATTTTCATAAATGTTTTAAGGTATTAGTCGCGTAAAATGGTTTTCGTCAGATTTTTTTCAAATTTTGCATACTTATTCCTGAAGTATTTATCTACAGAATGAGACCAATTTCATTAATTTTGACCGTTTCAAAGCTTCAAAAAATGAATTCAAAGTTCATACATTTTGCATGGAGGAAGCACCCAATGCATGTATTAATTTTGTTTAATAATTATTTATATGATAACTAATTGTCAGATTTTGAAATAAAACTACCAAAGTATTCAATTAGATGAAACAAGTGAATAGAAAAAACATGACATTTTTTGACCGCACCAAACTATATAAATATATTGATAGAAAGTTAAAAAAATAACTAAATTATACGAATTTTCATACGAACGAATAGAGTAGGGAGTTAAACTGTCTCTCTCACTCTCACTGCCCCACTCTAGTAAGCGGCCCGGTAAACCTTTGGCCAGAGCCAGCAGCGCGACTACTACCTTAACTTTTCCAAAACTGTAAAAAAATTGTATTCACGGTTGACGCGTTTTGACTCATTGTCAAGATATTTACAGTTCGGTCTGACGAAAATTGACCTTAACTACTTAATTTGGCGTATTTGACAACGTCATCTGACCTTAGCTATATTGTGTCTGACTGAGACTTGTCTTAACCACTTAAATTACAGGATATTACAATTTTATCTATATACAGAACTTTTCTTTTCTACCGAAAAAAGTAGTCTTACTGCCAGCTCATTTTCAGCGAAAACTGATCACATTAGAACCATTTTCTACAACATTTTAGCGTTTAGAGTTTGATTTTAAGTCCTAAAAATGACTAAATCTACTTTTAAGCTTAAAAATAAACTCCCTATCAATTATTTTGGCATATTTTTAAAAAATCAGTAGTCAAAGCCAAATTTAGACAGACGAAAATTATAAAAGCCGACAAAATTTAAATAGTTTAAAACGAATTTCGGTTAACTTTTCTATTAGATTTGACTCAAATTGATTGTCGTAATTTTAATTATTAGAGATGTAAAATATTTGTCTGACCAACATTTGTCCACACTACTGATTTCACTTTTTTAAAACTTACATACACTGCTTTCTAAATTTTAATTAGTAAAAAAGTTTACTAATTTGAATTAGTGGCTTACTTTTTGCTTTTGAATTAGTAAATTTTATTAATAAATAGCAATGTCTACTAATTTATTAGTAAAATTTACTAATTTAAAAGCAAAAACTCAGTTACTAATTCAAATTAGTAAGCATTTTAACTAATTCCAATTTAGGGAGAATATACAAATTACTATGTACGTTTAGCAATTACATTACTAAAACATTCTCACTAAGTTTGAATTAGTAAAAATGTTTACTAATTTAAAGCAAAAAGTTAGTCACTAATTAAAATTAATAAATATTGTTATTAATTTAAATTTACAGAGTTAGTAACTCTGGCATTAACAGCTTTGAAACCCTCGACTGTTACAATTACAATTTGAAGCAAAGAATTTTTATTTTTCGTCCGAATAAAACTTGTCATTACTACTAGAACATTTTAAACGCTCATTAATTTCTTAAACTTAAATTGACAAATTAAAACTGTTCTGTCTGAATATAATTAGTTTTACTACACTGTAAAAAAGGGAGTGAAATTTTAACTCCCCAGGGGATTCTATAAAAGTCGCACCCATTGGAGAGTTAATGCCAGGGGAGTTAAATAAAGAGAGTTAAAATTTCACACCGAAGTGCTAACTCCCCAAGAAAAAAATAACTCGCGCGGGTGTTGAATGAAGGGAGTTAGAAATTAACTCTCTTTTAGAGTTGATTTTTAATTCGAAAAATTTCACTCCCGAGTCCGTTAACTCCCTAAATTTTTTACAGTATATAGTTATAAGTATAGTAAAACTAATTATATACACCGAAAAAAATCTCGATGGTATTATTAACTATGACCCTATAGTTAATCTTAACCTAGTAAAAGTAATAAGGATTCCTAATCATTATGGTTAGGATCGCTAAGTTGATTCAACAAATTCAAGCCTGGCAAAAACAACCCTGCAAATCCTAGTCAAATTGACTAGGATTTTAGTAATTTTGCCTATTTCCATAATGCGCACGCGTCTGCTTCTGTTTTGACAGTGTTTACCTCTATATCTTTCGCGTCATTTATCGTGGTTTCGTAAAACGATTGTTTATCATTACTCGCGTCTATTTTTTGTACATAAAATGGAGTTCTTACATACATCAAAATTGCTGGTTTTTCGGAACCTCTGGAAATATAGATAGTCCATGTTTTAGAAATTAAACTATTTAATTATATTAGTCAATTTTTTCAGACTTTTTTGGTTAGGTTTCAATATAAATCGTCGAAATTTTTACGCACGTGGTGACAACAGTTTTACTACATATTTTAATCGCGCAGTGTATTTGAAAATTTACCTTTGCAATAATTTGTGTTTAAATTTATTTTCATTTAATTGGCATAAATAATTAAAAATTAATAGTTTTTGCAAAGTAGATAAAATTGTGTACTTGAAAGATATAAAACATCATCTGATTAAGTATTGTATTTTGACTCGAAAATCTAGTGTCTATTAAAAAATTATAATACCAAGTCGTGTTTAGTGTAGTGGTTATCGTTCCGGGTTTCAAAGTGCGTATTCGTTAGGTTCAGGTGTTCGCGTCCCCCCTGCGTTAAATATTTATTTCATAAGTTTAAATTAATTCTAAGGTATATAAATACAAAGTCAAATATAAATATGTTCAAATACAGTAATTAATTTTTTTCTTTTAATAAGTTTTTCTCTTTTATTTGATAATAAGAATTTGATTAGCAATTTCAAATAATTATGATACACAGTGTAAATCTAATATTATTCTCCTAGTCAATTTGACTATTTTTTCCTGATTACATCGACTAATTATCCTGGTCACTTTAACTATGCTTGAATTTTATTACTTTGACTAGGATTCTATAGTGGGTTCCTCTCGTAACTAGGAACCCTAGTCAATTCCTGGTATACGGGTCCTAGGCATTTTTTTCGGTGTAGTTTTACTATTTAATTATTTTTAATTATTTTTATTTATTTATTTTTTAAAGGAATTTTGTCTGACTAAAACTTTTTTTAACTACTGATTTAAATTTATAAACTTATTGTTTGTTTTGGTCTCATGTGATCTGGCTTTAAGCTTTAACTATATTGTGTCTGACTGAGAGTTGCCTTGACTACTTACTTTTACTGTCAGACCACATTTAGCTAAAACTGATCACAATAGAACCATTTTATACTGCATTTTAGCATTGAAAGTTTGAATGTAAATCCTGAAATTGACTTAACCCTTAAAGTACACACTGAATACAGAAGATCGCCTCGGTGTTTTGTTCAAATGCGTTCCATTCAAAATAAAAAATTAATTATAATGGCTTGAAAGACTGAATACTCGGGGGTTTTTAGAGTCGCTGATTACGAATCTGAAATCAGTTTTTCAAAATTCAAAATGGTTGATTGAATATGGCGGAAAATTTTCCAAAATTCGTAGAATTAATTTTTTATTTAGTCGACCGCCACATTGGATCAGCCATTTTGAATTTTAAAAAACTGATTTCAGATTCGTAATCAGCGACCCTGAAAACCTCCAAGTAACCAGTTTCAAGCGAATTCGATCAATTTTGAAAAAATTTCCGCCATATTGGATCCGCCATTTTGAATTTTGAAAAACTGATGTTAGATTCGGAATCAGCGACCCCGGAAACCTTAGGATAACAAGTTTTATAAAAATCAATTAAAATTTTTTTTATTTTAACACACTTTTGGCCCAAACAGTTGAAATCTTGTCGACAGCCAAAAAGTTAAGATGCAAACGGTTTTAGTTTATCTTGTTTTAAACCTGATTTTTACTAAAAACAACTTAAATTAATGGAAATAATTAAATTTCTGATTAGAAAACTGATTTTAAGACCTGGAGAATTGTCTTATTTTTATTTGAAGTCCAAAACTGAGCTGAATTTGAGAAAAAACAGTTTTAATAATAAAAAATAATATAATTAATTAATTAAAAATATATTAAAAAAATAAATTTAACGAAAAACGTTGAAATTGTTAAAAAAAAAATCAGGTGACTTCACATCGGAAACTGTGTGAATCAAAACCACTAGAGATCTCGAATCACGTGAGAATTTGGTCACATTTAAATCGGATTTCGAGTAAGGGGAGATTTATAGACAGTATCAAAAGGAAAAAGAATGAAAAGAAAGCAGGGCAGGAACTTTTGCTTGAGCGGAAAGTGCTTCTCTTGATTGAATAATATCGTTTCTTGCGGCTATGACGGAAGAGAATAAAAAGAAAAATCTCTCCTCTCATCGATTTTCTAATAAATATTCATAATATCCATTCAGATTATACTTTTACTAATATATCCGTAAAATATCAAACGATGAGGATACATTTTTTTTTAAAGAATAATATTATTTAGCCTGAATATTCCACTATGAGGAAATAAACTCTTTTTTCCGTATAATAAATTGAGGCATTTTCCATTCGGGAGAAATTTGCATTTCTAATTTTACCATATACAGTGTATATGTATACTTACATAGTATACGAAATGTATAGTTGAAAGGGAAAATGGCATTTGAAGAATTTACCTTTTTCGGTGTGGGATGCAATACGGTCACCGGAACCTGCCGTGGACCTGGAACTGACGGAAGTTGTGCAGACTCTTTTGAAAAAGAAAAAGGCGGTACTCTCGTTTCTCTGCTTGATGGGAGTTCGAGGAGATGCTGTATGGAATGGTTCTTTCTCGTTCTTTTCGACGCCATCCTGAAAGCAAATTCAAAATTATTCTACTTTTGGGTGATCAAAATTACATATTTTCGTTATTAACTTTTATTATAATTTATTTTAGTGTTCTTAGTGTAATTTTTATTAGTACTTTCATTTTTATATACTAATAATTTATTTGACTTTACATTCTTCATTATCAACTATTTTTTATATTATAATTTCGAGTGACTCGAGTATAGCAAAATGGGTAATTGACAAATTTTTAGTTTGTTATATATACATGTTATATAAAAAGGGAAAATAGAGGGAGAGAGAGAGAGAGTTGGATAAATTTTGAGTAAAAACAGCGTCGCAGTGAATATCGGGTAAAACTTTCGCATTTAACTTTTCCGTTCTGTTGGGGAAAACGACCAACAAAGCTCATCATACGAAAGTTTTCCGAGGCAAGGACGGTGGAGATCGAGAACGAGGGATGAAGTTTAGCGAGAACCAACGGCGCGCGCCTCCCCGAACACACTTATACCTGCAAATGGAACCAATACGTCTCAACTATCCCAATACAAACTCAACTACCCAATCACAATCCATGCCTCCTTCATATAAAGGGTGATCCACCAATAATCATCCATCAATTTACTTTCTCCCCAAACAATAATTTAATTCCTTTCGAATTTCTTTCTAACAATTTAATTTATTTTTTCCGAATTATTCTCTAAATTTAAATTATAGTAAAAATGTTTAGTAATTTGAATTAGTGGCTGACGTTTTGCTATTGAATTAGTAAATTTTACTACTAAATAGTAAAAGCGTAAAGAATTTAATTTTTAATATTTTAAACAATTTGAAGTTGCATTTGAATAAAAATTATAATTTGCTGTCAATAAGAAACGATTTAGGTAGTTTAACCTCTAAAAGTTAACAAATATTTCTTATTGACAAAGAGTTGTAATTTTTATTCAAATTCAACTTTTAATTGATTAAAATGTTGAAAAAAATATTAACCCTTCCATAAAATAAATTTAAAATTCAATTTGTCTTTTCTGGATAACCTTCGCGCTCCGGAGCGACCAAGCAACATTTTATCTACTTTCGAAAAATAAAAAAATTAAAATTTTTTTTTTTATTTCTTTTTGTTTATTTATAACAATTAAAGAAATATGTACGAGACTACTGAAAATTGCCTGGGTGTTTATTTTGTATATTGCAAACAAATAAAAATAAAATCATCAAAGTTTTATACAATAAAATTGTTTTATGTCAATAAATACAATATATTTTGATGTAACAATGAATTTTTATTTGTTTTAACAAATTATTGTTGTTATTTACCAACTTTTTAAAGAATGCACCTAGAAAGTTGCATTTTTTCCTAATTTTGCAATTTACTAAACTTTATATGATTACAGATAAAGAATAAAAATTGAATTATTATTTAAACAATTTTTAAACAAATTAATAATTTGTTTATAAATTGTAATCTATAATCACACAAGGTTTAGTAAATTGCAAAATTAGAAAAAAAAACTGCAACTTTCTAGGTGCATTCTGTAAAAAGTTGGTAAATAACAACAAGAATTTGTTTAAAAATTGTTTAAATAATAATTCAATTTTTATCTGCAATATGCTTAAAAACATTATTGAAATACAGTTTTTGTATTAACACATAATTATATGGAAAAACTTTGATGAACTTAGAAATTCTTCCTTAATTAAAATTAAATTTTTTAAATTCAATTAAAATTAAATGAATAATAGACAATTAAATAATGTAGGGGAGACTGGGGCGAAAAGTTAAATTTTGCATAAATGATTTTTTTTGGACAATATAATCCGCTTAGATGCAAATATTTATACATCAATATTGTAGGGCAACTTGTCCCCTACAACTTTCAATAAAAAAGTTTCTGATATTTTCGCATACAATACATGTTTTGTCCTTTTTTGAAAATTTTGTTTTTTTTAACTTTTCGCCCCATGCTGGGACGAAAAGTTAAATGGCTGGGGCAAAAAGTTAAATTCTATTTTTAGCCTACTAAAACTATTTTCTGATATAGGTGTTAAGTAGTAGATAAGTTAAAGTATACGTAAACAAGTAATTTAGTTAATAAAAGATCTTGTTTACTTAACAAAAGCTTTAGAATAGTTATAAAGTTAATAAATTGAAATTTCAAAAAAAAATTTAAAAAAATCTTTGGTTTATTTCACGTGAGCGGTATTGTTTTTGGATAGAGTACTTGCCTAATGTCAAATTAATCATTTTTAAACAAATAAACCCAAAAAAACGAAAAATAAAAAAAAAATTTTAATAACATGTAAAAATACATTTAACTTTTCGTCCCAGGGTGCGTTTTTGGCTTTAACAACAAATAAAAAAAATCTGACTAAAGATATTTAGCAAATACCTTTAGGTTTCTCTTTAGGGGACCCAAATAATGAAGTAAAAAACTCGCGGTGAGAATAAATGCAAAAAATATACTTAAAAGTTGATATTTTCTTTTACGAAAAAATTTTCAAAAGTAGGGTGAAAAAAAAATTTAAATATGGACACCACAAAAATTAGCAGAATGTCACATAACTCCGGACATTTATTTAGAGTGATAACACCCTTCTATAATTAAAATTGCAATGCTCTAACTATTTCCGTTCGAAAGATAATGAATTTTAACTGTTTTCACAATTTAACTTTTCGCCCCAGTCTCCCCTAGTTAAATTTTATTTGATCGAAATAAATTTTTTTCGCAGTGTGCACAAGTTAATTAGTTATTAACAAGGTGTTAATAACTTATTAAATTATTAAATGTTACGTAACCTAAATAAGGTTAATTTTAAGTTAGGAGAAGTTTTGCGTAAGCACCGAAGTCGAGAGAGAAAATAAGTGCGAGAGAGAAAAACTGCACTATCTCTCTCACTTCCATTACCCCCACTTCAGTGCCTGCGCAGTTAAGTATGCGCAATACTTAGCAATACTCAGCGTTATATTTTTTCTATTCATTCTTTCTAGTTCTTTCAAAAAAAAAAGATTGGAAATCACCAACAAAAAATAATTACATTGCCAGTAAAATACTTTTCAGTATAATTGAACTGTTTATTTCCTTTCTATTGAAATTAATTTAGGGAAGTAGTTATAAGGCGGGACAATTTTATTGAAACTAATTTAGAGAAATATTAATATATATGGCGGAAGAATTCCATTGAAACAGATTTAGAGAAATATAATTATAAATGCGAGAGAGTTAATCATTTTGGGGTTTAGTGCGGTTAAAATGCGATAACGAATGACTATTTTTCGAGGTCGATATTATATGAGTGGCAATATCGTAAGAGAATTTATTCGCGTAAATAAATCAGGTCAACACGCGGAGTTGATATACGTACATAAAGTACATACATATCCGAACGTGAAGGGGGGAGGGGTAGAATTTCATTAATTCCACAACAAAAGGGGTTACCCGGTAGATATCCTCTCGGTCGCTCAATGTGAAAGCTCCGAGTAAAGTTGTGGGTCCAAAGTTGAAACAACAGTGAGGGAAGAGGAGAAGAGCGACTCTGAGGCGATGCGATGCAGCTTCTAGGTTGCCAGTATAGGTGGAATGGGGCAACATACATATATGTTTATAGAATACAGAAAGCTTTGCGAAAATCGTAACACAGTGTTAGGATACCACAGTGCGTATGTATATAATTAAAATAAAATTTCATCTTCCATTAAAAAAGAATTAATTCCATACATAATATTTATTTATTCCTGCAACAATTTTATTCTTTTCTTTCATTCTTTGTTTTATTCTATTTTTTCTTTTCTAAAATTGTAAAAATTAAAATTAATTAGAAATTTTGAAAAAATGAATAAAGTTTTGAAAATGAAATTTACCGCTTTTTTCCTTCACTCTTTTTGGGTCACTGAAGATTTAATATGTTTTATTAAAAAACAAATATTTACCTGATACAAAAAAGCTGAGTGACTTTATACATGTGTCATGTAAACGAATTCAAAACGCAATATTTATTACTGTAGAGATATTTATAACATTTTATAAAAAGATTTACTGATCATTTTTCAATTTAAAGCACGTTGATAATAATTAACATTGATTTGTAATTAAAAAAACAAACGTAATTATTAATTCTATTCTCAAATAACATATGTAAAGTTTTTTCCTCTCTTTTTTTATAGATACCTAACGACATGTAAAGTACGTACACACTTTACGACTCATAACATTTCATGCAAGGTAAATTTTCTGCGATGTAAAATATTGAATTGGTTCAGGCTGCCACATCCGAGTAAAAGATTATTGCCGATATTCAAGTTTTACGAGAAAAATCGCAACAGTATTTTTCCATTTAATAGAGCATTTAATCTCATAAAATAACTTTTATATCTTCGTAAATTTTTTTGTGATCCAATTTACCTTTTTTTTTAACACGATACACTTTTAAACAAATTATTTTCTAAGTAAGTTAAAACTTTTGTTTTCTAGTTTTTTTTCGTTTTTTTTTACTTTTTTACATTCTCCGGCCAACTCGTGATCGTTTCTATACGCGCGACCACCTGGCACGTTGATGATTATATAATTTTGAAAAATAAAGATTTCTTTTATTTCAAAACTAGAAAAATGTTACTTGCGAAACGTGAGATATTCAATTTACTATTTTATGCAAATTACAAAGTTTTTTATTTTTAAATATCAACTTTAATTTTTTGTCTAATTTCAGATTTCAAATTTTCAAAATTTAACTTATTAACTAATTAATGAATTATTATCATTTATTATTTTCAAAATCTTCTAAAAATTCAAAATTTAAATAAAATTGTATAAAAGTAATCAATTATCAAAAATGTTGACCAAACCCTTTATAAAAATTCAATTATTTTCAATAAAATTTCATTAAGTTCCTTGAAAGAATTTCATTATTTTCAAACTTAATAAAAAATATCTTCGTAAATATTTAATTATTTTCAAAAATTTTAATAATATTCTTTGTAAAAATTCAATTATTTTCTATGCATGAAGACACTGAAAAAAATATTCTTG